TTACCCCACACCAGCTGGCTTGAAAGTGTTCTGACCCAAACCTGGTTCCAAGGAAACAAACACGAAACGGAGGGAACAGCAAAACCTTTTAACGATTCTCTACGAATTCCGTTCCTTCCCGGTGAAAAGGTTGTTTCAAACTAATCGTCTCTGATAAGAACGAGCCTTGCCGAGGTGGTGCGAGGCTGCCAAGAACGCTAGATGAAGTTGCCGAGAAATAGTTCAAACACAAAGAGTCTTCAAACACAAAGATATTCCGAACGTCCACAAAGCTTGAGTGGAAAAACTTATTTGCTTCCTGCACAGAACTCTGGTTTCTCCGCTGGCTTTTATCTCTTAAGGGGGGGGGCATTACCTTGCAGCCTTACTCCCGCATCCCCTGTGCTGTTGCAGCTGCTCTTTCCTTTGAGCAGCCCTATGCGCACGCACACTGGGCAGAGGCTCCTCAGGGTGCTCTTCCTCACTGCTGCCAGCCTCCACAAGCTCCGAAGGCAGCACCCCACGCCCTGAGGATCCTGGCCCCATCCCTGCATCACATACAGGCCCCTCATCCAAGTCCTCGCTCTCCGAGACCTCAGCCATCCGCACCTGCTGCTGACGAACCACAACAGACGGGCGGGCCTATTCCTTCTCGGAGTTCTGATTCGCTACCACTCAGGAATAAACCGGGATGGGTTAATCCAGGTGACTCGAGATAGAATAGGTAGTCCTCGGCTTACAACCACGATTGAGCCTGTTGCTAAGCAAGACAGTTGTCAAATGGGTTTTGGCCCATTTTTACGATCTTTCCTGTCCCGGCTGTTAAGGGAATCATGTCAAAAAGAGTTGGAAGGGACCTTGGAGGTCTTCTAGTCCAACCCCCCCTGTTCAAGCAGGAAACTCTACACCAGTGATGGCAAACCTTTTTCTTGTGGTGTGCCGAAACCAGCATGGCGGTGCCCACAATGCCCCCCGCCCCGCCCCCTCAGCTGTACTGTGCACGCACATGCCTCCCAACTGATTTTTGGCCCATTGGAGGCCGTTTTTGCCCTCCCGGAGGCTCAAGGGGAACCTCTGTAGCCTCGGGAGGCTGAAAAACAGGCCTTCCGGAAATACCGGAAGTGCCTGTTTTCAGCCTCCGGAGGGCTGGCTGGGGAATTCTGGGAGTTGAAGTCCACAGCTTTCAAAGTTGCCAAAATTGGACACCCCCTGACTTAAACTCTGTATGAAGATGGACTGGAATGAGATAACTCATATATTCTCGCTCAGCTTTCCTCAAAAAAATCACGTGTGTCTTCCAACACATCTGGAGAATCTCAAATTGGAGGCAGATACACTAACTAGTATACAGCTGAGACTGTATCGCAGTATCAACACAGAATCAACAGTAGAGACCTTTAAATTTCTAGGTTCTATATCTCAAGCCTAAAATGAACACCCAACATCAAAAATGTCATCAAAAAAGCAAAACAAAGAATGTTCTTTCTGCACCAACTCAGGAAGGCCAAATTGCCCAAGGAGCTGCTGACCCAGTTCCACAGAGGAATTATTGAGTCTGTCATCTGCACATCCATAACTGTCTGGTTTGGTTCTGCAACCCAACAGGACAGACACAGACCTCAGATGATAATTAGGACTGCAGAAAAAAACAATTACTACTAACCTGCCTTCCAGGGAGGACCTGTATCCCGCATGAGTCAAAAAGAGGGCTGTGGAAATATTTACAGACCCCTCACATCCCGGACATAAACTGTTTCAACTCCTTCCCTCAAAACGACGCTATAGAGCCCTGCATGCCAGAACAACTAGACACAAGGACAGTTTTTCCCAAACACCATCACTCTGCTAAACAAATAATTCCCTCAACATGGTCCAACTATTTACTAAGTCTGCATTACTATTATTATTAATCCTCCCATCCTTCCTTTCACCCATCTCTTCCCACTTATGACTGTATGATTATAACTTTGTCGCTTGTATCCTTACGATTTTTATGGACTGTTTCCTAGTCTGATTTGATGGCTTATGGTACCCCATGACTATCATTAAGTGTTGTACCTGATGATTCTTGACTCTTGACGAATGTCTCTTTTCTTTTATGTACACTGAGAGCATCTGCACCGAGACAAATTCCTTGTGTGTCCAATCACGCTTGGCCAATAAAGAATTCCATTTCTATTCTATTCTATTCTATTCTATTCTATTCTATTCTATTCTATTCTATTCTAGTCTAGTCTAGTCTAGTCTAGTCTAGTCTACTCACTCTACTCAATTCTATTCTGTTGTACTCTATTCAATTCAATTCTACTCTACTCTACTCTACTCTACTCTGTTCTATTCTAATGAAGATGTTTGTTCTTGATCTGTTCCCTTGCTGTCTTGACAGGTTCTGGTGGCTGAAGATCAGTGCCTTGGCAGAACAAGGGGCCTGGGAAGATCTAGAGAAGTTCTCCAAGTCCAAAAAGTCACCTATCGGCTACCTGGTGAGAAGATGACGGGGGAAATGGTGGTGGGTCTGTTTTCTTAACTCAACACACTTGAATTCTACAATTTCTCAAGAAGATATCCCCGGGGGGGGCAAAAGTAGACACGTCAAGAAAAGGACACCACCAGAAACGTTTCTGGATTTTTGTAGGGCGTTGTGTCCCAATCTGGGGCATGTCCAAGTAGATGGACCTGAAATCCCAGAATTCCAGAGTCAGCATGGCCATGGATGAGAATTCTGGGAGTTGAAGTCTGTAGTTAGGAACTATTCTTCCAAGCTGTCTTGGATGGATCTTGGGAAACCTTGTCCAAAATTTTCACTACCCAATTTTCTGGAGGGCTAAAAAGTCAAGTTGGAGGGTGTGTGTGTGTGTGTGTGTGTGTGTGTTTCTGCAGAACTGAGTAATTGTACCTTCCCTCCCAGCCATTTGTCAAGACGAGACTTCAATTCCTTGCCTTTGTTCCGTTCTGTTTACCGAGGGTTTTACATAAAATAAAAACAGATAGAGAAAGAAAGAGATAGGAAAAGAAAAGAAGGGAAGGGAGGATTGAGGTAGAAAGGGAGGGAAGGAAGGATTGAGATGGAAGGAAGGAAGGATCGAGAATGGAAGGAAAGAAGGAAGGACTGAGGTGGATGGAAGGAAGGATCGAGATGGAAGGAAAGAAGGAAGGGCTGAAATAGATGGATTGAGATGGAAGGAAAAAGGAAAGAAAGGAAGGATTGAGGTGGAAGGAAGGAAGGATCGAGATGGAAAGAAAGAGAAGTAAAGAAAGGATTGAGATGGATGGAAGGAAGGAGAGATTGATGAAAGGAAGGAAGGAAAGAAGGAGGAAGAAAAGGAAAGAAAGAATACAAGAGAAGTAAGAAAGAAAGAAAAACCCTAACCTTATGAAATAATGACTTCCGACAGATCTTCAACAGATCTTAAAATTCCTTGTCATTTCCACAGAGGTGGATCAAGGTCTGAAAAAAAAACAACAACAAGAATCGGCCTTGGGTTTTCTCTTGTGATTGGCCTGGCCCTTTGCAGGTGATCATTGTGTGGTCCCCTTTCCTCCCTTGCAGCCCTTTGCAGAGATCAGCATGAAGTATGGCAGGCCGGGTGAAGCCAAGAAGTACGCCGCCCGAGTCACCCCCGAACAGAAAGTGAAGGCGTTCCTCTTGGTGGGGTAGGTAGCAGGCGTGCCCCCCCAACTCTCCCCGGAATCTCAGACTCCCGTCCCCTTAAATTTCCTGAGTGGTGGGACCCCAGATATGTGGGTCAGAGCCTTTCTGGGCCTTCTTGGCCTCCTTTTCTGCTCCTCTGACTTGAACTGGGGTGCGTTTTCATCCATTTTCAGAGTGAAATCCTACCAAGAAGGTACATGAGAGACCCCTAAGGGGGTCACCCCCCCCCCCCCAAAAAAAAAAGGGGCTCAAGAGCTGTCCTCCCTCAAGGCAAAAGGCAGGAGAATGGGTTTAAATTTTAGTATCTGGATTCCTGCCTTCAGCAGAAATTGGATGAAATCACTGTTTTGTTTTGGGTTTTTATTTTTCAAACGTGGCCCCTTTAAGACCTGTGGGACTTCAACTCCCAGAATTCCACCCCTCAGCCGGCTTCTGGGAATTGAAGTCCCACAGGTCTTAAAGGGGCCACGTTTGAGCAACGCCAAATAGGTAACCTCAATGGACCCAGCCCGAGTTTGTGATTTTAAAGCTGAGGAAATGCAGAATTTGAACCCACATTGTTTTTAAAAAAGGGGCTCTGAATCCAAATATATACACCATATTTATCAGAGGCGCCATTTTAGACACTTTTAATTCTCCTCAAGAAATTCTGCGAGGGTGGGTGAGGGATTAGCTGGCTAATTATTATTATTATTAGAAATAATAATAGTATTATTTAATATCATATTATTATATATAATATTATAATATATAATAATATACTTATTATTATTAGAAAGGCTCCCTCATGAGGACTATTCACTTAGTGTTCAGCTTTGCCGCGGAAAATCTCCGGAAAGGGATCGAATGAGCCTTTGTCTCTTTTGAATGTCATTTTTCTTCCTCCTGTGGCCGTAGGGACTTCACTCAAGCCGCCGAAGCCGCCGTGGAGCGCAAGAACGAAGCAGAAATGGCACTCATCCTCTCGAAATGCACCGACGCCACCGTGGTGGCCAGGCTGGAGCAGGCGAAAGCTCAACTGGGAAAGAAATGAGCTTTTCCACACCATTCACCAGTTACTTCTCACCGGCCCTGCCGGGTTGCAAAAGAACAAACAAACAAACTCTGGCCCGGTCCAGAAGCAGCTTTGCAACTTCCAGGAGTTTGTGACTACCGTCTCCATCCTCCCCAGCCGGCCCTCTGACGCACGCACCTGGACGGAAGGGCCGCCAAGTTGAACTGAAACAAGGACAACTGGGCTCCTGCTAGACTTAGGGAAGATTTGAACTGAGATTTGTTAATGGGAATGCCCTGAATGTTGGGGTGCTGGGTTTGGTTTTTGTTTTTTTGAGGAGGGGGGTGAATTTAAAAAAACACAGCACCCCCTTCTCTGTCCTGCAGTGTGGGAGGGAGCGCCGCAGAAGGAGCAACGATTTCAAAAAAAGACGCTCGTTTTCACGGATTTCATTCCTTGTTCCATCTGCCCCAAACTGTTTTAGGGGGGGAATAAAATCCAATTGGGGTCATTTCAAGGCCGTTTCTTTGCCCTCCTGGGTCAAATCATAGAGCGGAAAGGTTTGATGTTGGGAGATACTCTCGGTTATCGCCCTCCGCCTGCCTCAACTTTCTGAGCGGCCCCGCACAAGGCTTTCGTTTTCCGCGAAAGGCGGATATTAAAGTTTTCTTTGAAATCGGCAGATTTTGTGTTGATTTTGTAGACTAGATTGAGTGGTTTGCTTGGAAGTGGAGATGGTTGAGAGAATGACCGGCATAAAGTCACCCAGCCGGCTTTCGTGCCTAAAGCAGGACTTGAACTCACTGTCACCTGGTGATCGGCCCAGTCACCCAGATGGCTTTTATGTCTAAGGTGGGACTAGAATTCACTGTCACCTGGTGATCGGCCCAGTCACCCAGATGGCTTTTATGTCTAAGGTGGGACTAGAACTCACTGTCACCTGGTGATTGGCACAAAGTCACCCAGCCGGCTTTCATGGTTAAAGTAGGACTAGAACTCACTATTGCCTGGTGATCGGCCCAGTCACCCGGACGGCTTTTATGTCTAAGGCGGAACTAGAACTCACTGTCACCTGGTGATCAGCCCAGTCACACAGATGGCTTTTATGTCTAAGGTGGGACTAGAACTCACCATCTCCTGGTTTTCATAGTGTTTCCTGGTGGTTGGACCAAAGTCACCCAGCTGGCTTTCGTGCCTAAGGCAGGACTAGAATTCACTGTCACCTGGTGATTGGCCCAAAG